AAAGTTGTATCATAAATTAAATGTAAGTGTGCAAAAGTTTAAAGACTAGTGAAATGTTTAGCTATGATATCTATTGTTATTTAATTAAGTGAAAACAAATCTGGTTTTGTTTACTTCAAACTCTTTTCTCCCTGACTTTTAAAGTATTTAATTATCACAACTTAGTGTCATTCAGATTGGTCCATTCCCTAAAGTAATTCTGGCCAGTCCATTCATATTCTTTTAACTACTGTTCAGGTGGATCAAAGAAAAAAATTGAAAATGGATTACTTAAAAACCCTGGTTATGCACTCCTTTAATTTTCCATCCACCCATTTGCATTAAGAAGAATTAATGTATTCCAGTTCTATGTACCCTGGCTAATAAGTCCCTCTAGTGATAGGCTCACTTGTATGTTACAACCACCCAACAGTGAACAACAGTATCCCTTTCCCAGCTTAGCCTGCTGCAAGAGTCTCAAGTAACCAGCAAAAATGTAAATAATCTGCTATCTAACACTAGGAGTGAGAAGCATTCAGCACCAGCTTCATTGCACAATGTGGAGCACTAGTTGGTAGTAGGTGCAGTATATACAGTGTATGTACAATGAAATGGATACTGTCATAGCTAAAGCTAAATATACAACATCACTGCCCACTCTGATTTCTGATTTCTACTACTGGTCTGTCCTTACGGGTTTGGTGTTTGGGGAGGCTACATCCTTTTATTCATCAAGTGGCTAGAATTTTTTTTTTTAAAGAAATTGTTTGAACATGGGGAGGGGGGAAAGAGAGAAAAGGGACTCCTTTCCTGTCAGCATATAAAGGATAAGACATTGCACCTTGGGTTTGGTCTATGTGTTTGCACAACCTCAAAGGGTGCAGAGAAATGTAGGCAACTTGGGGCGAAACCACCCCTTGTAAAATGTTGTTGAGTGGCTGCTCCCAGGACTATGAGAAACAGCACATTATATTCATGAAGAGGTGCCAGCTGCCATATTTTCCACTTGGACGCACAATAATGTAAGTATGAAGTCTTAAAACTGCGAGCACAATTGCAAGCACAGCCTTGAGAGCTATTCTGTATGGAATTATTTTAGACAGTCTTGCCTTCAATATACAGTATACAGTCAAACTTTCTAAACATATCCTTTATGTTTTGAATGCTGAAAAATATTTTCTTCATCTTGAGTAAAATATCAGAGTCTTGTATCAAAACAGATCATGCCATGATCATAACCATACACTTTTAGCAATATAGTGTTTACAATATTATTTTGTAGACATGCATTGGAAATACATTTTTTCTCAGCTCTAACAAAGAGCTGAGACTCTTATCATCAAGGCTTCTTCACCAAAAATGCATGATGTTCAGCTGCTTTTTGTCACATGTCCTTTTTGATAATGTGACTAAGCACATTAATTCATACTATGCAAAAATTTTTCAGAGCATAATTCACAAATTGTCTTATTATACAAACTAAAACTTTGGGTCTGGTAAACATCTGATAAAAAAATAGGAAGAACAGAATTTTTGTACAACTGTTGCATCTCATTAGAATACTGAACCTACAATCTTGGACAAAAAGTGTTAAGAATTTTACACTTTGTTATACACGGGGGACACACCCAGTGAATTTAGCATCATGGTGGCCCCTCCCCCCACCCCTCCCTGATCAGTGTTGTTAAGTCTGGACCAGAAATGTTCCGGTGACCCTTCAACATTGCTTTTTGGGGGGGAGGGGAAAGTATCTTGAGTGTAGGGGTCTTTGGAGTGAAGTATTCTAAAATGAGACATACGAGGTGTATTTTTCTTAACATTTTTGTCCAAGATTGTATTTTTCAAATATTGAAGAGTATGGGTGACAGGAAACATTTATAGTGAAAAGAAGGTGTTTTTTGTAGAAATGGAATAAAGAGAAAGATTTTGAAAATCCAAAAGTGATTGTTCAATTCTGTTTGTTCCGCTGTCAGGGTTCTGAATGCTGCGGGGGTGAGTGAACATAGAAGACTGACGTTACAGTGACAAAGAGGCTTAGTTGTCATGGTCACCGAATTATAATGTTAAATTACTCTACAGATCCTGTGATGGAGTTAATACGTGCTTACGAAACATCGGCTAGTGATAACGACACTGACACAGATTGTTCGGCCACTGAGACACAGCCACAGTTGCTACTAAACCAAGTGCGGTCAGTTTATTTGGTGACATATAGCCAAGCCAATAAGTGTGAATTCCCTACACGTGAATACTTTGCGAAGGTTTTAGTCGAATGTTTCCAGTAAGCTGGTGTTGATGTCGTGCAATGGTGTTGTAGCGAGGAAAACCACAAGCACGGGGGTATACATTACCATGCTGCGATTAAACTGAAAAAAATTTGCCGATGGAGTGGTTGTAAGAGGGTTTTGAAGCAGCGCTATGGTATAACTGTGAATTTTTCAAGCCATCACCATAACTACTACAGTGCGTGGTGTTATCTTACCAAAAGCGATACGGACTTTCAGGAGAGTGAAGGGCACCCCGATTTAAAAAGCAAAGGAAAGCCAAAAACAAGCAAGGCGAGCGACAAAGTTGCAAAGAAGGGTAGGAAAAGGGGCCCGGACAGCTCCAAAGTCGCTAAAAGTAAGAAGCGAAAACGTTTAACCTCGTCCGAGGTAGCTGATATACCGTTAGCGAAAAACATCAAAACGGTGACGGAGCTTCAAGCCCTAGCTTACACACAGAAAAGGGAAGGGAAAGAGGATCTTATGGACTTCATTATTGGAAGATCTCGTAAAGCAGTATCTGAGCTGCTTGAAACAAAGTGGGAAATAAAAGAAGCAGGGGAAAAGATCGCACGCGCCCATAAATCACGCGTAGAGATTCTACGAGAGGCAGGAAATGAAGAATGTTTGTGTGCTACTAGAGAGGAGTGGCTCAAATGTGCCAGACAAGTGCTACAGAACAATGATATTGAGGAACGTACTTTTGGTAGGGCTATAATGACCGCATTAGAGAAGGGCAGGGGTAAATATAGGAACATAATGATTATCGGACCTGCAAATTGTGCAAAGACATTCCTTTTAAAGCCGCTAAGTGTAATTTACAACACTGTCTGTAACCCGGCTACGGGTAGCTTTGCGTGGGTAGGTGTACAGGAAAAAGAATGTATTTTTCTGAACGATTTCCGATGGTCCCAGCAGTTGCTACCATGGCACGATTTATTGCTTTTGCTTGAAGGGGAAATAGTACATTTTCCAGCGCCCAAGACACATTTCATGCAAGATATTCAGTTGGCAAAGGATACTCCCATCTTCTGTACCACTAAACGGCCACTTTCGTTCATCAAGAATGGCATGGTAGATGATAGAGAAAGTGAAATGATGGCCGTCAGGTGGAAAATATTTGAACTCAGAGTGCAGATTCCTGAGACAAGTCAGCGCGCAATACCACTTTGTCCAGGTTGCTTTGCAAAGCTAATTACGTGCGGTTTATAAAAATACTTTTCATGCGTGCCGTCACGTTGCACAACGGTTTACAACAATCGGAGCATTTTCTGTAGTTGAAAAATACTTATTCCTAGATCTTTCACTTTTTCCAACGGTTTACAAAAACTTATTATTACAAAGGTCTAGTCAGAAGCAAAAAAAACTGCACATTTACGTCCTTTACAACAGTTAACATCGAAACCCTTGAAATACGAGACTGTCACTCAACTATTCTTTACAGACAGCTAGTAAAGCGTTGTAAACCGTTTGGAAATAGCCATTTTAAGAACAATATGTTCTGTTTGTGCAGATTATTATGTACCGTAGTCGGGACACATAATTCCCTTGCTCGACGGAATTTTTTCGCCTAAGAATCGTCCCGAAAATGAACACGAAAGTACACGGTTTACAAACCGCAACTAACCTTGAAGACAAACGGAAGTGACGTCAGCTTTGTACTGTACAAGAGAATGTAATTCCTTTTATTTCCTATTTTCAAGTACTGATTCTCAACCATTGTATACATTTCTCTTCACAATTGCTTAGTACTTTGTTCTGTTCCCTTTGTTTTTAATGATTACATCTATACGACCATTCATAGAGTCAATAATTTTATCAATCGATTCGCTTGGCCAGTTCAAAAAGGTAGTTATTACTCGGCTTTGGAATTCGTCGTAGCTTTCGCGAGTAATATTTTGACTCAAAGCTTGTTGGCTGAGGTTGCACCTTACTGAATGAAACAAATTCTCTATAGGATTTAAATCTGGGCTTCTGGGAGGAATGGATAACAATTCGGCTTTAAGTTTTCTTAAAGCCCTCTTCACTCCCGCAGCGTTCTGGCTCGGATCACCATCTTGAAGCCAAAGGCGGGAGGGCCCTTTGTCGGCTTTTGTAAAGAAACTAGCAAAATTGGCTTTAACAAAATTTTCAAAAAACTGTCCATCTAGGTGTTTGTAAGGATGGCAAGCTATAACCCCTTTGTTGTAGCTAATAGCCACAAAAAGCTTAAGAACTCTTCCTCCACTGCCCTCTTTCTTCCCCTTCGCCGTGCATCCCTCAGCGAGACCCTCCTTCTTTGTCCTCCACATTCGGCCTTGCGGGGCTTTTGCCTGGCCCGCAGGGTTTCTTTTGTAATAGAAACTCACCCCGTCTAAGTAAAAGTTCACTTTGGAAGTCCACACGTCTCTCGGTTTTTCTTTGCGAATCTTTTTAGCAAAGCGATATCCACATACAATATCATTCGAGGAAAGAACCCCTTTTTTACGCGCCTGTCTGTATCCAAATCCATGCTTGTTCAGAACACGACGCACCGTTCTATTGCTTACTTGACCTCTATGCAATCCGCAGGCCTCTACCAGTTTACCTGAAGTGAAGTTAGGGTTTTCACGACGAAGGTTTTCCACTTGTCGGATCAATAATCTTTCCATTCTTGTATCGATCTTGCGCGGTCGTCCAGGGCTCGCTGTCATCTTTTTTCTCTTTAAACATTCGAATCCGCCCTTCTTGATCTTATAGATGGTGGCTAATAAAACTCCAAGTTTTTCTGATAGTTCTCGAGGCTTGTGCTGCTTGTCTTGCAATGCATAAAGTATATACGCCTTTAAACTCCCGTCTATTGCGCCGTGGAAAACCATATTTCTTGCTCGTATACCTAACCCCCCAATGACGTAACAATAACTTTCCCTATTATTTACCCTAATTAGCGGTAATTGGTCGTCCTGAACTATGACGTCAGATCACTTGGACAAATACAATAATTTAATGGAGGAGTACTTACCCCTCCCCCGGTCGTTTTTGATTATCGGGCCAAATGTTGAAATACAATCTTGGACAAAAAGTGTTAAGAATTTTACACTTTGTTATACACGGGGGACACACCCAGTGAATTTAGCATCATGGTGGCCCCTCCCCCCACCCCTCCCTGATCAGTGTTGTTAAGTCTGGACCAGAAATGTTCCGGTGACCCTTCAACATTGTTTTTTTTTGGGGGGGGGGGGGGGGGGGAAAGTATCTTGAGTGTAGGGGTCTTTGGAGTGAAGTATTCTAAAATGAGACATACGAGGTGTATTTTTCTTAACATTTTTCTCCAAGATTGCACAATGTAACCATTCATAAAAAATTCTTACAGAAACTATCTCTTTCTTCAGCCATTATAAGTTTTTTTCTGTATCATTATCTGATTTACCGGTCTTAAAAACCCACTACCCTGAGCAATGTAGATCTTGATGTTACTAAATCTGTATCAAGTAACACAAGTTATTAAACAGGTATATTGTGATGACTGGTGCACAGTAATATTATTGTTGAAAGGGAAGGTAAAACGAAATAATAATATTATTAATGGCAATACACAGATGGTAGAACACTGAAGGGAAAACACAATGATTACATTGCTGAAAGAATGACATCCAGACTGACTTACAGCATGTACATTCAAGACCAATAGGCCATTTTACAGTTGTGGGCTTGGTGTCATCAGGGTGCAAAGAAAGTCAGTTTTACAGCCTGCCATTCGGGCAAGCTGTAGCTAGCATGTACTAGACCACAAGTCTTTTCAACTAGCCCAAAACCCTTTTTGATTAGCAGGATTGATTACAATCCTTCTGTAATTTGAATTTCCCCCAAAAAAAGCACTTGCCCGTGGGGCAAGTTACAAAAAAAAATCACTAGCCCGATAGAAAAATCCACTAGCGCTGGGCTATCGGACACAACTTTCTTTGCATGCTGTGTCATAGCCTTTGAGCGAATGTGAGACTGAGGTTGATATGATTAAACTTCCTTCCTTTTCTTATAGATGTAAATTTTGTTGGAAAAAAAAAACTATTTGCATAAGAACAACACGATCTACATAATAAAGAAGGAGGGGTTGTATCAACACAAGGTCAACTCCAGCCTCGACTGTAACTGTGAAATAGGCTATTATTGCTTTCCCTTTAGTTGTAGATGCAGATGTAGTGTTTGCTTTTACTATGGACTACATTTATACGGTGGCCCAGAAGGGTCACACATGCAAATTAAAAATGTTGCTGCAAACTAAAAATTTTACCTGCAAATTAAAAGTAGGACATGCAAATTAAAAATTGTACATGCAAACTAAAAATATTACAAACATGAAACATGAATGGGTAGACGACTGAAAGGCCAGGTCGCACGGCTCGGACCAGGTCCTTATCACTCATACTGCGCACGCAGGACTTTTTAGTTTGCATGTACTATATTTAATTTGCAGGTAATATTTTTAGTTTGCACGTACAATTTTTAATTTGCATGTATTATTTTTAATTTGCAGCAACATTTTTAACTTGCATTTGTGACCCTTCTGGGCCACTGTACATTTACATGTGTTAAATAACCAGCAAAAAAGTGATTAAGTCAAGTACATGTATATGGTGGGTCCCCCCTTGAGCATTTATTATAAATTTATTACAGTGAACTGCATCCGTTAGGGAAGTACGCAGACGTTTACGGACTCCAATTCTTCCCTAGTTTTGTAGTAAACAGGTGACTTATTTTAATAGAAGGTGCCGTGGTGAGGAATGTTTTGAAAAAAAAATTAAAAAAATAAGGAGGTCTCTGAGTCGCTACATGCATCACTCCGTCATTAAGAGGCAGTAGAGTCAGAAATTCACAACCTGGCGAGAAACAGAGAAACTAAGCCTAAGCTTATATAAAACTCAACAACATCTAAATAATTGAAGATCAAGACGTTGTCTGACACAGTTTGAGTGATAAAACATACCAATTAAACAGTAAGCTTACCTTTCTCCGTTTTCCCCGGGTCGGCAGGACGTTTCAGTGAAGTTGAAAATACGTTTCCTCCTCCAAAAAAGACTCTGTTGTAGCATTTTGTAAATTAAAAATTTCCCATCCCAGCCGATGTACTTTGCTTTAGATGAGTTCTTTTTGCAGTGCACTCAGCACTATACACATATAAAAAAAATCTTGTCAAGGCCCCCTATAAGTACTATAGGCTAAGAGAAAGACATCACACTTTGTAAACCTTTCCATGCCATCTTGAACGAACGATCGAAGGAGGACTTTGGCTTTGGCAGCCATCTTTGTTTACTCACTAACGTACGGTGAGGAGACTGAACACTACAAAATCAAACAGCCAATCAGACAAAAGTCTCCTTTGTTCCTCAGAAGGGGTTTGCGCATGAGAGGAATCAGACCTTAGACATCAGACCTGAGCGCTTCTCCTTTAATGAAGCGTTTCTTTACGCCTGGTAGATGACACGAGTACGTGAAAGGCTTCTGTTGGCTCAGAGACTCGTGGTTGGTTTATAAAGTGTTTACGCATCTAGGATTGGTTCCTTGTTGAATCTAATCCCTTTGTACACTTTTTTGTCCAAGAAAGTGATCTCTGTTTCCGACATCTCAACTTGATAGTATTTGCCTTTTCCACAATTTTAGGTCCTCTCTGTTTTGTCTAGGTTTCATAGGGAAAACACATCGTCAATATATCTTTTCCAAAACAGCGATTCAATTGCCCTGGGTGCCCAGAGACGTTTTATGTGCTGTTTCCGCTTCGGTAAAGTCTTTATAGTGACCCACGCGAAAAGAGTTTTTCTCGCGGCTTTGCCTCTAGTGACTTCTGCCTCCGGCCAAAGATCTGTTAGCCGACACCGACGCCGAAGATTCCCGCTGCACGCGGGAAAAATCCTCTGGTGACCAGGGTACGGTTCAAATACAACTCTGTCTCAATGTTTGGTTTTCTATTCAGGCCATGAAGATGTTAGCAAAAGCAACGGCCTCCTTTGCTCCCATGGCTGTTCCATGGGTCTGTAGGTTGCTGCTATCGCAAAAGTGGAACTAGTTTTCTTTTAATATAAGAAAGAGTACTTCTCTTAGATATTTGGTAGGTACCCTGCGGGGGGTTGGGGGCCGGAAGTATTCCCGGAAATGTTTGGTGGGCGTGAGCCGTCCGCTTCTCAAAATCCCGACCTTATTTCATACTAAAAAAATGTTATCTCCCACACCCGTTTTCAGACCCGTCTCCTAAATCCATA